TTAATGATACTCTCATGTTTCCACCCAATATGTCTATAAGCAGTCAAGTAGCTCGTGAGCAATTCTTTTCAAACTGTTGCATTCCAAACGGGTTCTGCGGTGCTGTCTTGACCTCACAGCAGTAGAATTGTTCTAACTGAGCGTCAATCTTTCTATGTCTCTCGAGTGAGCTAGCTATCCCTCGCTTGGTCAGAAAACGTTAGTTTTCTCAGTCAGTTCGTTACAACGAGATCGCTCAATGATGTGGCTTATGCAACTCCGGAAACATCATGATATCAGTATGAATGTGTCATGAAATTTCTGGTAAGACGGATTTCTTAGGGACGTGAAAATTTCCCTGAAATTTAATGTAAGTAAAGTAGAGAGCTCTCAGTGAAACCTTCTAACTCAAGAAAACGTCCAGTTCGTTGGTGCTGAGGGTGACAAACATTACTAAATGCACGGTCACGTGTTTTTAGAAAACAGTTGGTGAACTAATCATTTTGAAATTCACGGTCTCGTGTTTTTAGAAAACAGTTGGTGAACTAATCATTTTGGAATTCTCTTCCAGAAAAGATGCGGTTGCAGACGCTACATAAAACTCAAACCTTAGGACGGTTAGAAAGATGAATTCAACGAAAGATCTGGGTTATTTGATTGGTTTTACTATGACAGAGGTTTTGATTTTAATGCATGCACCATTAGTCCAAGTGGCTTTCTGATGATCGATTCTCATGTCGCTAAAAACGTGTTTCTCAGAAGGCCTTAACTGTATGTGTCTAGCGCACTAAACTAATTTGGCCCCAAGGTTTCACATATAATCTGTGTGGTGTGGTGTAAACTTAACGTTACCGTCGGTGTAACGCGCTGAAAGGAGCAGTCGAAACTCAGTTAGTCGGCTGCTGACTCACGAGGATCTAGCTAGACGTAGTGTGTTCTACACCTGATGGAACTTGTAATCATGGTCACATGTGACACGCGCCCGAGCCGAGTTAGCCCATACTACTAAAAGAGTATACTTTATAGAAAATGGATTGAAGCACGTTCGGTGTATCTTGGTTTTCCAATGTTGAACATCCGTCAGTAAAAGAAAACTGCCGTCGAAATATCGAAACTTCATTCTTTCAAACTACGAACGGATTATTTACAATGGACACAGGAGATGAGGGATTCGGTCTGTCTCAAGAAAAACTCATCTTTGGGCAGAAATTCAACGGTAGTCACTCTGGACTAGGAATGCTGTTGTTAGCTTTCCTAGAGGTTGGTCTTCTTTTGGAAGAAACCTTCGTAGGAAGACGGCTCTATGCAAAACTCAATAAAGAACTGAGCACCTGGACTAATTAGAATGGTTCTGAATGTTTGGCGCCAAATCCGATTCAGAATTCAAAAGGTTACTGATATTTTATAAGTAGGCGGAAACTCAGAATGGTTCTGAATGTTTGGCGCCAAATCCGATTCAGAATTCAAAAGGCTGCTGATATTTTATAAGTAGTGCGGAAACTCCTGTGATTAAAACCTCAGGTAATGTTTACATGGGTTTCTCACTTTTTAAACCACTGGTTATTTGACTTCGCTACAGAAAAACATACAGACATCGTCTGTGATAGCTGATTATGGTTTAGTTTGAAAATCAGAATCAGCTCGAGCAATCTGTAATTATCTGTTCCTGACAAATAATTGTTAGTTTACCTCGCTGCAAACTTTCATACAGTACTTTGTTGAGCTAAACAAAGACCACGATATATAGTATGCACTTTGCCAAATCTCGTCTGAAAACATCAGCGTATTGCAACTACAGTTGTTGTCACTTATTCATTGTCATCCAACTAGCCACATCCCAATGATGAGGTTGTTTTTAGGATACCGACGACAGGCAACTTTTCGTTTAATATGTCGGACCCAGCCATGGTCACTACAAATGACAAGGGACCCGTTGACACCGGGAATTCTGGGATCACTTCTCTTACTTTCTAGTTTTCAGACTCATGATGGTTGGCTGGTGGGATGTTGGCTTGCCTTAGGGTAGCCACCCACCTTAGCCGCATTGTTGTGTGATATCTGGTTCTCTGTAAAGAAGCACAAGCACAAAAAGGTGTGTTTCTTCCGTTTTGCCGTAGAATCCCGTCAAACCCCTGCTTCGCTGAGGTAGCAAAACACTTACTCCGATAATTCAACAATCGAAGGGTATGTAAGCTGGGTGATGAATTCTCCATCAAACTTTGATATAGATTTATTTCGTTTCCTTAAACGCAGACATTCCCGAGCCGGAAACCTTTGTTTTAAGGTACTGTAAAAAGTATTTGCCACTGAGGAACAGTAAATCTGCACTTAATGCCTTTATTTTATAGCTCGCTTGGAATTGCAAGCTCTTTTCACGCATATTTTATCTCACCTAAGATACGCAGCGTGATCAAATCAACGCGCCGAGGCGTTCCACCCAAGCGGAATTCCGTTGGCGCATTTCAAACGGGAGGTTTTTTTGCTTGTCACCGGAATTGTAAATTCACGTTGCGTGATTCCTGGGAATGAGTGACAGTCCCCCGTGAAGTGTCAGTCAGTCGAGCACGGCCCTTCAATCAGCTAGTTTCGTCTCGATAAGAATGGTGCTAGTTCGTGAGCAAATTGTGGGAGCTAGAGTGAGTAATAATGCTTTCAGTAGTATTATTCACGGGATCACGCAAGATGGAACTACGGTCAGGGAAACAAACACCTTCAGACCAAGTAGGTGGTTTTATGCTTAAAAACACTGCGTGATCCACACGATTATTCTTGGATTTATCAGACATTCTGATGCATAGATGCGCTTTTAAAGACAATTTTTTAAATCTATAATTCAGTCAAACAAATTACCACGAAAAATATGCCCGCGAAATACTACTTACCGTTACCATGGTCATCCAATGACTTCGTGCACTTGACAGGAATTGACTTCAATTAAAATATATACCTAGGACTTGCGTTTGATCGCAATTCTCAAAACATTAAGCTCTATCTATTTCCCAAAAAAAGCAGGCCCTAGTTCACTCTGTAGACGCGAGGCGAGAATGTCCCCAAAAGACCAAATAGCCAACGGATATTGAGGTCTTCTACATATTGTGACTGTTAGTGGACATAGGGTTAAAAAAGTTAGCCAACAATCAATGAGGTGGGCTATTTGTATTGCCTCATCATCTTGGGAGAGTTTGGGTCCTACTTAATGGCTCTGATTCAAATAGGAAGAAAGACGCTCTGATGCGTAGCTCGACTACTTGTTCCTCTTTAGGCATTTCCTATTGGGTTCGCTTAGTTTCAAAACTTGGCATCTGAAGTCTTCAGGATAGTGTCAAAGCAGTCATGCCGGCGAATTGTTCCATTTCACTGACATGATAAATTGTTCTTGACTCTTGAGACGACCTTGTTGAATTCACAGAAGTACAACACATGATTAATTGACCGAGCACTTTCATTCCAAACGATTCCGTAATTCGCTACCATAGATGAAGTAAAGCCGTTACTCTATGCTTCAAATTGAGAGGGCATTATACCACGTTTTATTCATTCCGTGCACCTTTTTTGGTAAACACCTTTTTTAGGTAGAAACATCTTGTCCATTCCACCATTTCTCACTGTAGTTGCCGTTGTAGGCCTGCATTTGGATAAAGCCCAAACAGTGTTGACCCATGTGTCGTATCTTGATTTTCTCGAATAAATAATCAGGATGTCAGAGTTTAGTGGTAATGTAAGTTTGATTTAAGAAGTCTCCATCTGGTGTGCCTTTCAAGCAGAAAACAGTTCACTACCATGGCGCAACCCACGAACACAGGCGAACTAAGCGGAACACAAGTGAGTAGTTGACAGCTTAATTTGATACTCGGACTTCATGTTACTTGATAGCTAATGCACGATGAACCGACTTCTACTTCCCTAAATAAAAGTAAAGGCGCGTAAATACCGGAAAGCTTGTGAATGAAAGCAGTTCACATTATTGTTTTAGCCTAAAATGTGCTAACGCTGGACTTTACTTTTTTTACCGGAAAAAAGGGTTTTAGGTCGAGTGAGTATACAGATGTCATCTTACAGATTGCTGTTTAAGGTCTCCGCTTCAAATAACTTTAAACAAACAGGAGTGTGATTTACGGCGGAAAAGTGATCATGAGGACTCTGTTTGACGTGACCTCGGTGTCTTTAGGACCTATGGCTGAATAACCGACGTCCAAGTTCTTTTTGCAGGAAGTCTACCGACGCTTCACCGCCAAAAACACAACCACCAAAACATTGCTACGCATCACTACGCTTGCTAAAACACAACCACCAAAACATTGCTACGCACCACTACGCTTTCTAACAACGCACTAATGACGTCACCTCGATTGGGGATGAAACATTTGCAATCAAGTTACCCAGCCCAGCAAAAACAAATAATAATAAGCTGAAAGCATGTCTCTAACAATCGTTCTCACTCCAAAGAGAGAAATTTTCTCCCAGCACACACACAATAATAAACTCGCTTGCAAAGAAATCTGGTTTGTCAACAGACTCACCTGGAACCTAGCTAAATTTCTCACTTATGATGTTTTCAAGCGACCATATGTGCTGCATCAGGCCGCCTCATGTTTCAGTTGGTTTGATATTCAAGATATCGCGATGCATGTATAGACCTATTACACTAGGTTTCAGGTGAGTCTCCCGAAAAACCAATTTCGTTCAATGAGTTGGCCAGTTTGGTCACAACTTTGTATGCAACTGATTGTAATTCGCCAATTTCGTGCAACTGGGATTTAAGAAAAACATAACGTTGAAGGAAACTCAGGGACTGAACCTAGCTGATGAGCCTCAAGTAGGGTGAAACCAGTCGAGGGCTGTCGAAGAGTTTTCAGCAAACCTGTGAGTTGTTTCCTTTATGAAGATATACTGCGATATCTCGAATATCGTGCCCAACGAAACATGATGCGGTCTGTGTGCAGCACAGTCAGTCGAAGAACATCATAAACGAGCGATTCGCGTGAGTCTCCCGTGAAAACCAGATTGATCTGCAAAAGATTGTATTTGTCGCAGTCAGTCAAGTAGATCATAAATTTGACGGAAATTCAGGGACTGCGCCTAATTGATGAGCCCTCAACGATGGCTGAAAGAATGGTAGCTTGAAAGACACAAACAACATGACCGGGATTACGACGATGGGAATGGGTAGAATCCAGGGCTCCTCCCAAAAAATCGTTTGTCAGTTGAACAAACTATGTAATTTGCAAACCACACCTTATGAGAAGTTGGATATTTAAGTGGTCATGAATAAGGAACTGGTCGTTATCAATAACTCTCATGAAAACTAACAAGATTTGGACATCGGACGTACTGCTTTGTTGTACTACTCTAAGTGAATGAAGGTAATTTTAGGCAAAAAGATTCCACAACGAAGTTAAACAGCAGACTTTGTCAGTATCACTCCTATTCTAGACGAAGCCGCAGACCCTCCAATCACAACAGCTAGCAGAGATAAATTCTGCTCACAGTTGCTAGCAGTTACTAAAATGCCAACGAAAGCATCCAACGTGTCTGCTGTAAGACAGACTATTTTGCCTGATTTAAAAACGACAAAACGGACATTTACCTAGTGAATACATTCCTCATAAAACGTTGACCAGCCTAGTTGACATTTACCGCCAAAGACTATGACAGTCAACCAGTTAACTTTTTGTTCGGCCGAAAAAACGAGCATTGGGATACATTGGCATATATTTCTTTAGAAGGTGATTTGATGAGTTGTCATACTGGTGTCATACAAAGGTTTATCGGGAATTTGAACCTGAGTGCCCTCATCGCTTCCTACTTTGTGATTTTGCCCGCTATTTCTTTTCTGGTCGGTCAAGTGACCGGCGTATCCGAGAGTAGCAGCAGAAATTCTATTTATGCTTCTTCTGTATTAGAAGAAAGACCTAGTCTAATATAAGCACGGGCTCAAATTCTTTGCGCGTTGGGTAACGTATTTCTATTTTAGATACATAACCGCACACATAAAAAAGCACACGTAAAACGCATTCCGCGTATACATATTTCCAACTGACTGTTAGATCAAGAAAAATACGGTGCCCATAATACGAGTGTTTGGCAGCTTTCAGTAAACTTGTTGAGGAACCACTATGTTCTGAATTTTATTCCCTGACCGGTGGTGTGATGGGGAAAAGTTTTTTTTTCAGAAGACAATCATGATGAGGAGTAAAACAGGTTTTTTTTCTAAATCTTTCACCAAATTTAACTCTACTACTGTTGAGGCACCCACTGAAGTGAGCGAAATGGTCTGGCTATTTGTCGCACAGATTAAACACATCGTTGCAAGATACAGTTAGCGACTGATCCGCGATAAACAACCTATGAATGTCACTCAGTCAGTCGGCTAAACTTTATTGTACAACAATACCAGGCTCAGTCCTCTTCCCAAGTAATCGTTGAATTTGTTGGTTTCATTGACAAACTTTAGAATAAAAACCAAATTTCGCCCAAACCATCAGACTAAGTGGCAGTTCGATAAATATGGACTTCCGCCCAAATGCTATGCATAGAGCAGATAGCACAGACAGGATCAAACTAGACATCGAGGATTTCAACAACCGGATGTGTTCAATTTAGCAAAAATCAAAACGCCAAGCTAACATAAAACGTAATGCAAACGTTCAAGGTCTATTAATAGAACTTCGGAAGAGAACAGATTAGCCTTTCTTAACGCAGGACAAAAAATGTCCATAGTATTACTGCCTTTGACAACGCTAACGCGCGCAATTGTTGCTAACGCCTCTATTGCATTCAAAGGTAACCTGATGTGAACGTCATCCCACTGACCTCCTTGAACTGCCCTCCGATTATATCCCCCTCAAATGAATGTCAACGAGATGGAGTACCATCAAATAGAATAGAATACAGAAATATAAATTTGTTTCCATTTTGCCTTGAGATCATTGCCAGACTTGTAAATTTTCATGGCATAAATTTAAAAAAAAACAGGAGACATTTGAGTGCACTAACTATGGATAATAAGGTTATTTCAGGTGAAATTTTTGTGGCCACCGGTAGCTTTTAAACATCATTTAAAACCCCTAAATTATATTCATTTTTTGAACTACAGTGGTGTTAACTAGATAAAAACCGGATTGTTCATTTATGTTATCCACCAACTGAATTTGCTGTACAAAATCTGTTTTTAATTCAGTTTAGTTTTAGTAATTTAGTTTCCCAAAAACACTACTCACAAAAGTTGATGAGACCTATTCGACAGCCCACAACTCGTTTTCGTCATTACGGGGCTCATCAGCTGGAAGCAGTATTCGATTTTCCGTTTGGAAATCATACTAAACTGGTGAAAGGTTCTGATAATGCGAAATGCAACCGTTCGCATAACAAATTGGTTTTACCAAGAGAAGCTCGACTGAATTTCTTGTTTATGATATCTTTTCAAATGAACATGGCGCCAGTATACCTGCTTTCAGGATGTCATGTTATCTCATCGAGCTATGGGATTGTGAATCTAAAGGCATATATTATAGTCCTTTGTGCCTATTCGAAGATGCAAAACAGAGAGGCCACAAGCGGTGACGAAAGTTACTCACCAATTCCGTGTAAGTGAGGGCAGATACGCCTCAGAAAATGAAACTGAAAAACCGTTTTTTTAATTTAGTGCACGACTGTGACAATGTAATCTTTTGATCGGCCTGTTTAATACCTTACTCACCAATTCCGTGTAAGTGAGGGCACATACGCCTCAGAAAATGAAACTGAAAAACTGTTTTTTTTTTAAATTTAGTGCACGACTTTGACAATGTATTCTTTTGATCGGCCTGTTTAATACCAAAAAAGTCTAGAGAAGTGGGACACAAGCTGCCTTACGATTTCAATAAGGTTGAGAAGGACATTGATGCACTTTAGTGGGTTGAGTTTAATAAGACGATGGTCGAACCAATATAACAGTTCAGAAAGAATGTATTTAAGCTAAGGTGACATCACCAGCCTACTTAAATTTGACTCGAGAGTAGGCCATGAAAAGACCTACCATTTACAACTATAGAAAAGTATTTTGCCTCACTTTGCAAGAAATCCATTCGAGGTAGTATTTTTTTAAGTACTTTTACAGGGATGTCATTGAGAAGGACATTGATGCACTTTAGTGGGTTGGGTTTAATAAGACGATGGTCGAACCAATTTAAAAGTTCAGAAAAAATGTATTTAAGCTGTGACATCACCAGCCTACTTAAATTTGACTCGAGAGTAGGCCATGAAAAGACCTACCATTTACAACTATAGAAAAGTATTTTGCCTCACTTTGCAAGAAATCCATTCTGAGGTAGTGTTTTTTAAGTACTTTTACAATAAGGGATGTCAGATTGTCAAAAATCTCACGGTGTCCTTGAACTAAAATGATTAGTTCCCTGTCAACCACAGTAGCAGTTTTTGATTTGACACAAGGAGATGAAAGCGCGTTTCCAATAGCTCATTGAGATTGGGAAAACAACTCAATGAGGAAGAGTTATCTACTCTGTTACCCAGACGCACTATTTGTTCTATAAAGCTTGAAACAGCTTGATGGATAGAGCGCAAACTTACGGACCAGAAGATAAGTGATTCTAACCCAACTCCGGCATCGCGACTGTTTCTTTCTAAGCTTAGCGGATGAATCTTTTGTATATGCCCTTATAAAACCACTGGCAAATAAAGGCTGCTTATTTCGGGTGCCGCAGGCTTCGCGCAGATTTCAAAATGGTCGTACAATAACTTTTTGATGCTAGGATGGGATTCGCATGTTAAACCGATTTTACCTCTTCCTGAAATTACCAAATACATTTATGTTTAAAAAAATTGATTATCTAGCAGCAATTTAAAAGATGGTTTACTGCGAACGGTGATTCCTTTGAGCAGCGTGTCGTTCCAAATTCTTTACAAATCTCACACTCCAGTGATTTTCCTTGCGTTCGCGTTTGATTATTCGGATTTGAGCTACCTGTGTTGAAAATTTCTGTAAGCTTCTATCATTATGTGGGGATGAGTATCGATCCTTCATGAACCAATTTTTCCGGTGGCAGCGTAGAGTAAAATCAATACCAGCAGATCAGGATGGCTGTAGTACTTGTGTAGCAGACTGAGTGCGGACAGACTGAACTTAGGCATCTTCAATTAGTTCACCATTTTAACTTTTTCAGAGTTTTTTGCGTCCATCGACTGAATGGAAAAACTATTCTTTGATTTTTTAGTGTTAACGCAAATTTGATCTATTCTTTGATGCGTCAAAATGCCTCTTTGAAGAGTATCAACGCTCACAAGGTTTTTCTTTTGCGCTAAACATTTGCCTTTAGCTGCAAATTAATAACATCATTCGGCAAACGGGTTGAAAATGTTCGAGTGCTAAGCAAGAAGAGTCTGGCGTAGTCCCGGGTCAGCTCGGAGTAGGCCAAAAGCTAACTCGATTTTCATTCTGTCTGACTGAGTTGATAACAGTCCTTATGCCTGCAAGAATATTGCTAAAACCTTGAACTCAATTTGGGACAACATAACCGTGAATTATTAGGATCTTTGAGGTTGAAACTGTCGGTTGGTTTAAAATATCCGCTTCTTTTCCAACCAAACTCTCTCAGCTACAACAAACCGACGGGCAGACTATAAAAACTGGTTAAAGCTCACTCCATGAGTATTTACCGAACGTGAGAGATCGGAATTCGTGCTATCTGAAAACGTTCGTGTAATAGTCGATTACACGGACACGAAGTCAGTTCGTCTTGAAAAATGTTTTCAGTCATAGTGGCTCCTAAATTATTTTGGCAAGATACGATAAAATACTCTAAATTTCAGTCTCCTATCCCTATCTCTAGCGGATGATGTATGCCTTCTTAAGACACCTCTTTTAGCTCTTCTGAAACCCTCGTTACCGATTTCCAACGCATGATAGACTGGGGGGGAATCTCCCTAAATGTGACCCACTGCTTCTTTCATCCAAATAGCTAAAATAAAAGTTTATAGTGTTTCACTAGCCTTGTGACCTTAAACAGATCACTTTACAAATGACGTTCCACGTTCATATTATATGTCCTTAACAAACAATTTTTTGATGCATGTGGAGGTTTGGCGGGAGGTGTATTGTTCGGTTTCACATCACTCTCGTTTTGAACAGTCGTACTTCCGTCCTGGCGCAATTATTCATGCGAATCCACACCTAATGGGGGAAGCACTCGACTCGAGTTTTGCTCTTGTTAGAGCTCATCAGCAGTGCATCAGCAGTGCATTCAGATGCGTCCAATGTACGCTGGTGGGATAGTGGTAACACGTCCACCTCGCATGTCAGGTGTCCGGAGTTCAAACCCCGGCACGGCCATTGGATATGCACTGCTACTGAGGTCTAAGAAGAAAAACTCGAGTCCAGTGCTTCCCTCCCGTTTGGTGCGGATTCGCATGAATAATTGCGCCAGGACAGAAGTACGACTGTTCAAAACGACAGTGATGTGAAACTAAAAAAATTTTTGTTGCCAGTGATCTTTGGTGTGTAAATTTCTCTTCAAAACGGGTGATTTCTGACTGACAAATTCAACGACAGTGTATCAGACGAATGAAAAACTGGATTCTATATTGTCGAAACCGTCAGATACACGTTAGTCTTCCACTTACCTTTAAAAAGCAAACCTAGTAGTTGATTGTTACTTTTGACGTCGCACTTGTCTCCCTGCTGCTGTGTGATCCCCAGCCAGCCTTAGCAAATTGATAAAGGAATGCGGTAGAACAGTGAACCTATCGTACAACGTGCTCACAGACGTCCATTTTAAGCGGTTACATGAACAACTGTGTTGGCATAGCTTGGCCTATATTTAGAATACTAACTACCGGGAAAGTGTACCAGAGAATAAGTGCTCTTAGCCAGTTCAACGCAGTTTCGTTTGCGAACAAAACACAGAATCACAAACAGCATATTCGTTGGCATTTCATCCTGGAGCAGAGTTTTGTTGGGCTGTCAAGCAAAACGGTGCAGATGTGTCATCTCTGTCCGAAATCATCGGCAGTGCTTGACTCATGAGTCCCTACAGAGTTTCGAACCTGCAATTACCTGGGTTACTATCCTGTTCAGCCAACAGTACAAGTAACTTAGTCATCCATTAATTACGCAGTTTACCTTCTCATTGAGTGAGGACTCCTGAGCCAGAGGTCAACGGGGTATCGGAGTGTTTTCTTGACTGGACAGGTTGCCCAAATTTTGAGTAGTGAGGAAATTTCGAAACGGAATAATAGCTACAGCAGGTCTGATAGGCGAACAATACGTATTCAGATTTTGCATTTCCATAGAGATTTCTTGAATTCACTAAAAATTTAATTATATCATTCATCCTAATTATATTTGTTGACCTTTTAAAGGTTTGATCTTTAACTTCTGAAAGCCCTTGAAACAACACTCTTTAAAGAGACTCTCTGCCTAAAGGAGCTACACACCAGGTAAAATCGACTTTATTCAGAAATTGTCTCCTAAATTTGGAAAAACCACCTATTAACCCTTTTGAGTTTGAATCATCTTCCCCAGACAGTGACCTTACTTCAGAAAAAGTTTATATATTTTGAAACACAGAAAACCTATTTTAAGGGTCCTAGGAAAATACTAAACTGTTTAAGTGAAGTAGCACAGAACGGCCGCATTAGTAAACCGTGAACCGTCAAAGTTTTCCTGACGCCAGAGAAACTGAAGAGGTGGAACAGTTCGAGCCTAATCGATTAAATTTAAGAGCACATTGCAGTTGAACTTGACAAACGTTTAGAGTTCTACCTTTCAAATGTTGAAAATTTCTGACCCCTTGAAGCGAACGTAATTAAAGTAACCCGTGGTACATCATTTTTGTTCTCATTTACTGGTGGCAATATATGTACTGAAATGCCACTTAAACAAGCAAACAATTGGTTTATCCTCTAGTTTGCTTTTGTTTGTAAGCGCATCCATTATAGGCTATCGTCTTTTCCGGGTCTTATCAAGGTGTAATTTCTCGAAACATCAAAGCTGAATGAATCTGCAGATGCAGGAGCTCATCAACCTCGCAAGAAAACCTAAAGTTATCTGATAAGTCCGGCACTGCACCATTTTTAGAGTTTTACTGGCGTTTTTTGCAAAACTCGACCAGGCTTACACTAAAAAATTTGGGGATGGATGAAAAGTTTCATGTAATGGTTTTGGAAGTGACACGAAGAGAACCAGTGCAGATGTTGGATATTACTCATTTCGCCGAGCAAATCAGGCTTTTCGATTCAGAAATGAACACAAAAGCCTGCGCTCTGTTTGCTTGAGATTATAGGAGTACTTCCCACCCACTGTGGCATGGCAGATTCTGCTGTCGCGAAGTACTCCAATAAGCGTATATACACTCATTTGCAAACTAATTTAGTTTTTCGAGAGACTCATCTGGAACCCACCTGAATCTCCGTTTGTGATGTTTTTCAGGCAAGTGAATGTGCTGCACCAGGCCGCCTCATGTTTCAGTCGCTACAATATTCGAGATATCGCGATACATGTATATCTTTGTAGTGCGCTACTCATAAGGTTGCTGAAAATCCGTCGATTACCCACGACCCGTTTCGCCCTTTTGGGGTCCCCCGGTGAGGCGCCGACCCCGGGGATCCCGGGGAAACCCTGAAACCCGGGGACTGCGCCTACCTGATGAGCCCCAAAAAAGGAAAACCCGGTCGTGGGCTGTGGACGGATTTCCAGAAATCTTATGAATAGTGCACCACAAAGATATACTCCAATAGGCATTTGTTTGAAAAATCCGGACGCGTTCAAAATGAGTTGTTTATCTTGTTTATTGACTAGCTTTTAAATGGCGATGACTCAAATTCAAGTATGATCTCAGCTAATAACCAACTAATGTGCTCTAATTTTCCAGAATAACTTCTCTCCAATTTACTCACCTTTGCCCTTCCTCCCACCAGCAGCTGCTCCGTACATCTGAATGCAGTTTTGTGGATCGGTTTTGCTTCCGTTCAAACTTGTCGTAGTCTCATTGCAGCCATACAGAAGGAAACATTTCAAAACAATAAATGCAGAAGGATATCCGCCCGGTAAAACTGTAGTTTCGAGTTTTTGCAGTGACAGTAAAGATAGTGGAAATATGAGTGTTTAGTAGCGAATTTGATGATAAATGTACTATTGACCAATCAAAAATCCGGGCGTAGTAAACGTGATAACTGACCAATGTGGAGGCCACCAGGCTTGCTGTGCCTCATCAACAGCCAATCGCGTACTTTTCACATCCATAAGTCGGATGGCTCGTTCACCAAAAACAAAAGAAATCAGGTGGTGCACAAACTTGTGGCAAAGGAGTGAGACCTCGATGAGACTTCAAATCAACCTGGTTTCAACTGTGAAACTACAATACGCGGTGTCAAATATCTATGCATACTAGAATGTACTCAAGTCTGATTGTCAGCCGAGGGACAAATAGGGATACAGCCAACGAATACGATGAAAGTGAGAGTTGATTTGGCATCATTCTCACTGAGTTTACCAGGACTAGGTTGAAAGCTCAGAGAGGTTTGAATTATTGAGGATTGTTGCCAAATGCTTTCTCTAGATTTTATAGAGATGTTGGAACTCGTGTGTGACTTATTTCCGGCGGCTGGTTCTCAGGTTTATGCATCATATACTTATCTAATATCACTTAATTACCATGCAGATGTTTACGTGCACTCATGGATCCGTGTTTGAGAGGTAGCTGAGTCCACAGTTTACGTAGTAAAAAGGATTACATCACTACTAGGCAACTTCATTCAATGGGAGACAAACAAATTGGGGATTAACGCTCAATGCAGAAGTGTGGATTACATAGACAGATACTGATGTCCTGTTCATCTCACTACACATGTTTGTTCAGGATATTTTACTCGAGGTAGCGTACGATTTCTTTTGTGTTTCCCACCAAACGTGGATTATTAAGTTGGATTGTAGCTTTAGCTGACCGCAACAGACAAACACCTTTTCTTTAGACCAAAATGCGATGTCTGCATAAGATGTAGATTATCGTAACTATAAACTTATTATAAGATTCGATATTCAACCTCTAAAGTAAAAGAAAACTTCGAAATCAACTCAGTGGGGCATACAAATGTTGTCGACAGAATGCTGCACTCGATTGGTTCCTAACCAACATCCGCTTGAATAGGATATCTATGTAGATGGATCTGTTCACACCAGAATTTTGTTTGACCTATCTATTTTTGGACCACTCTGTTTCAAACATGGCTTGAACACTCGTGTCCTGCACTATCATCACTTTCTATCCCAGGTGGACTCGACTGACAACAGTGGTTGGGTCAGTGTATTCTGGTTGGTAACTTTAATATCATGATCGGTTTTCGGGAAGCCCCATGTTCAAACCACCGGAAATGATACAGACTAAGTTTGGGTGCACTTAGACAGTTATCCACAATTAGGCATCACTCGAGCCAAATATGGTGGCATCGAGGCCAAACACCCGTTATCCAACACCAAAATTTCTGTGTAGCTATAAACACTATCAATTTTGGGGAGATACACCACTCTTTCTCACAAGAGTGCCGTATTCCCACAATACCTTACGGACGGTAATGAAGAACATGCAGTATTTCAGTAGCCGTATGGTTACCGAATTTGTAGTTCGTGAAACGAAGTGTCTGGTAAATAGTGATCATAAAACAGGGAACACTTACCTCGATCGATTTGCTTGCTTCTAGCAGGTAGATGAGAATTCTGTGAATGTACAAGGCTCCTTCTATTAAGACGTTTGCAATCTCTTGTTGATAAAATTCGAATGGCTGTACTGGAAGCACTCTCAAAATTGCCCACCACTTTTAGAGGGGTGTAACTCAGTTGTCTAGAAACTTGTCGCGCATATGTAGACGCCTTCTAGGGATATCCTTGTCGACTATCGGACGCTCTCATAAGCTTAAGCAAAATTTCGCTTTTCAAACGTCTCTGAAGACTCTTAAAAGAGAGAATTCGTGGATGATATCAGATAACACCAAGTTCACCCTCAAAATCCCACTTTCTCTACCTTGATTACTGTGTTTCCATGGGTCCAACTGGCTAACAACTCATAAAAGCCGCTTAATTTTTCCAAATAACTGACCCCCATTCACTTACCACTCACTCATGATCGAATGTTCAGTAAAGCCATGTTACATCTAAGTGCACGTTAATCGCAATGCTGATCAGCCGCTGGTGGCCGAATGTTTAAGAAACTGCTAAGCGAAAAGTTGCAGATTCAGCACCCCCTACTGGAGTTTCATCAGCTACGCACGGCTGATTATTCCGAACAAGGATGAAACAGCTACATAGTGCTCTGCTGCTTCTCATCAAGACGAAATCTCGGTGGAACGTCGCCAAATTTCTTCATACTGACATCCAAGAGAATTTGCTGATTCTGCGTTGTATGGATTCGTTTGCTGGTTCTTGGAATACCCATGTCCAAGGAACGTAGATGAGCAACACAATAAGGTTAAGTTATTGATCAGTAGAAAGACGGATTAACTTTCGCTTGTAGGTTAACAAAAATAAACACTCGCTTAGCTTCGCGTAGCTACCATTTCACCCGGGAGAAGCACGAGGGATGAGGTTCTGCCAGGTAGCCCAAACCTAGACAGAAGCAGACGAGATGAGGAATTTTGGTTCAAACTACGTAGCTTCCGATCAAAAAGTTCACACCATAACCACCGAGCTAACTCGAACAGTTGACATTTTGCTTACTTTTGTATTTATTGGTGTGAACCTGCACATGCTGAAAAACTGGTTACCGAATGATTTATCATATACATGTCGCCAAGTTCATCCAGTCATAAACAATTAGATTTTACTCATCTGTCAGGATTTGCCTTGGATTTAGCGAAATGAACCGGGATTTTTGGACAAAAATTAGTGTACCCTCGTTCCCCTCGTCAAAACCTTCCCTTGTTTGAGTCTGTTGTCTTCCGCGTCTACCTCATACACTCTCCATAAACTTTGACCCTTAACATGTCGGACCAATCTGGTCGACCGTCTTTTACGCGCGTTTTCTACCATTTTGTGTTACCGCGCGTTGTGCGCAGAGGTGTCGCTGGTTAAGATCGATTTACCGTCTTCTCCGGGATTTCTTTGGACTTGTACTATTTCGCGCAACAGTTTGGACATAAGCCCCCAAAATTTGAGGTTTGTATCCCTTTTATTACGTACTTTGTACATGTAGTACCGCATTTCATTCATGAATCACAAGAATCCACAGTTTCTGGCGTGTGCTTTTGCGCGCCACTCAAGTAAGCTCCCCTGAATACGTTGAACTATTCTACATTTAGTCCAATATGTATTATTTCACGGACACCGTCAAGTCGACTTCATCGTCCGCGTTTAAGGTGAAAAGATGGAATATGTACCCAAGGCACCACTACTTCACAAGCTGAAGCCATACCCAAGCGATATATGACTGTCCTGAATGTTAATCATGGTGCGTTACCGTGACCTGGAGAAATTTGGGGTTGACTACTAGCCAAGTCCCCGAAGTAGTCATGTAGTTGGGGCATCCGTTTCAGTTAACCTGTGGTTAATTTTACTCTGAAAAGTAAGTTGCGGTGTTGAGTAGATGCCTAAGAATAGAAACCCATCTTTAATTGTCGACTGCTGCAGCCGTTGTAGGGTTTTTAGTCAAAACTTTGAAAACTTGATTGTATTTGTTATGACTGAGGTTTTTGTATAGAACTTGAATCAAGGTAGGTAGAATGCCACACCAGAGCAGTGATACGTGGTCAGCAGCGTTTGACCGTGCAAAAACAGACCCTTCCACTTAACGGGCTCAGATAAATGCAAGTCGCTTCTTCCTACCACATCTCTTCAAATAAAATTCAGTTATAATTCCAGCCCACGGCTTGCTGTGACCTTCAGGTCTTGATAACGCTTCTGTTCAACATAAGTTTCATTCTGTGTTTCAAACTTCAGATGATGAATGAATTAGACTGCACTAGGAATTGAGTCGTATTTCAAAAGTCGCAGCACATTGTTTGGATCGGTCAGAGCTGTCCTCTTTTCCTCTTTTTGGACCATCAACTGCAGGTTTTATAACATATAACAATTCAGTGACGGAACAATCTGGTAGCATTGCACCTTCAAGGCACACATTACTTAGTTCGCCTGGGTCACACATCCCATCCGCTTGTTTGGGTCATGCCCCCACTTCAGCTTATACCGTCGTTGGTCAAACTGAAGCTGTTTTGTAATAACCTGACAATCGATGAACATCACTAAGCTCACAATATCTAGCCTGCACAAAAGCGCGAACGAAAGCTGTTGACCAATAACTCATCGACTTATTTGGAGAGAAGTGACTTTAAAAGTTGGAATGGACAGGGTTCTGGATCAATGGTTTTATGACACGGTCAGTTAAGCGTTCCGCAAATGAAGGTTGTTAGGGCAGCCGAGCACGTACGCATAAACTCAAATCTGATTTTGCTTCGAGCAGCGGAGTCCGGTGACAATTCGGGTAATGGCATCCAGCCGACGGCAAGTTCACTTCAAGTGTGCTAACGTACAGTAATTCTTCTGTGGGTGGGAATGGCACCCTGATTTAAACCGATTTTATGGATAAAGTATATGGCTATCAGCCATCAACAGCTGATACAGCAGACCAGGTCCTCCGTTCTCATCCCTTTTTACGAACACCAGCAGAAACTCGTAGGTACGTGTGCAAGCGCAATGGGGTTGCTTGAGGTCTTAAACCAGGAATTCACACGTTTTCATCTCATGAATTTTGCCTGCATGAACAGGTGGTTAAGCCATCCGTTTCAGCATGACCGACGTCATGAGCATTTGATTAGGTTCGGACTCTTAGGATTTAAACACTGGCGTTGGCATTTGAAAATCAAGCACCGCTAACGGACATTAAACAAACGAGTATAAAAACCCGTAAATATCCGAGGAATTTTCGACCTCATCTAGTATGCCTTTGATCCAAGACATTCAGAGACTTTTAGTTACCGCACAGTGTTTTGAGCTCCAGTCGGGGCGCCGTATTAGAGAGAGGGTAATAATCTCTCAAAAAGAATAACTCTAACCTCCTGGGGATTTCGCTCAGTACCTTG